TATAATTGGTAATATTGTTATTAAGTTTTCTAGGTATTTTCTTTGTAAATAATTGTTCTTTTTTTAATTAGTGTAGTATTATTAAAATCAAAGTCATGGCCAGTTTTATTCCTGTGTATTACAAGAGAGATTGCATGGTTGTCTCAACATAAATCCTTTTTATGTTCATAGAAAAACCAACAAAATGTCTACTAGGCATACACACACACACATTATCATTTGAATCACACATAGACAAAGACAAAATCGAATTATTATACCCTTATATACATATAGCAATATTTAGGTAGGGTTAGGCTTGTAATCTATTAATTTCTTGAAACTTTCGTTGGATGTATCGTATCTCTCCTTGAATTTGGAATGCCACAAATTATACTACTGTTTACTTAACAATTCGAATGCATGTGAAACATGATTAGCCAATGAAAGTCAAGCAACAAAGAAGTCAAAATACCAGAATTTTTTTCTTTGTTTTATCTTGAAGTTGTTTTCAAGGGTGAAATGTCATACAGAATTTTTTCCATTTTTATTTTTTTTTTTTCAATTACCCATCTACATTCAATTAGAAAGATAGTGATTTGATTACTTATATGTATCACGTGAACTTGACCAATACAAATATGGAAGAGATTAACACCTTGATCCCAAAGGTTGCCATCTGTTGATGACAGACATGTTCTAAGGATATGAACTTTATAAATTGAGTGCTTTAATGCAATTTCTAACATTGTGATTAGAAACTAAGGTCTGTATACATTATAAAGGAAAGTGCTGAAAAGTTATAAGCCTAAGTGGGGAGGGGGTCTTCCAGAAAACAAAAAGATGTTTGGTCAGATTTTGGGAAGTGGATTAAGCTGAATATTTTTTTTATCATTTATAGAAAAATTCTTTCAGTATTTTATTTTCTCTAACTTCAACTGCTTGGGTAACTGGTTGGCAGAACAGGGATTAGGAGAGATAAAAAAAAAACACTAAGAGCTACAAAGGACAGGAATTTCTGGCAAGCCATGATTGCTCATTAACTGAAGAGACACTGCAATAGAATAACTACAGCTGATGCTCAAAATAGCTACCAATCTATGTAAATTAAGTGATTGTATTTCACAAAATTCAAAGATAGTTTTTATTTGTATATATTATATACAGGGTGTGGCAGAAATACCTCCCACATAACGGTAAGACATTAGCTAGATAAAGAAACCATTGCCTGTCTTACAATTATGTGGGAGTATTTCTGCTACACCCTGTATAAAAAAAAAAATTCTTAATGCTTTATGTAAGATATTACAAATATTTCAGTAAAGAATTCTAAAAATTGGAAAAAGGACAAAAAAATCCAAAAGTTATAAAGAATATCTGATTTTAAGAAAATCACTAAAATAGAATTACATTATCTGAATATTGATTGATTTGTTTTTTACGGCTTATCAACCCTTTGCAGGTTATTTAAAGCCAGAAAATATTTTTAAATTCTAAGAATTTTTTTGGAGATAATGATCATTTACTGATACAAGTTCTACTAATTAACCCATAGCTGAAGGAAGAAGAGGTGGATTCATACTTTTCCCAAGGGTATTTGTGCATAAGTGACAAACCCAACTGGAACTCTGCTCCCTGATTTTCAATTTCTGAGTCATTATCCATTACACAACCTGTACATTCAAGCTTACAGCATCTGGTATTCCAAAGGAGTCACCCATCTAGGCTTGACATTGCTTAACTTTGGTGATTGAGTGAGAACTAGTGTTTCAATGTGATATAGCCATATGCCTACATTATCTGATGTATCCAACTACCCCAGGTAAGAGGTCAAGACTGATTATAAGAGTTTGTTTTTGTTAATCATTTCACCCCAAGCAAGGCAATAATGCCACTATGATGCAAGGGGCTACTGGGAGTGAAAGAGAATGAAAAGACTTTAGAAGGAACCTGGAACCCAATCCTAAATAGAAAATAAGGGATAAACCTCTACTTTTGTTCAAAAGATCAGAGAGGAACGTGAACTGAGTGATAGGGGAACCTATCGACTTCTATTAAATGTGCGTTAATATACAGATCAGCTCATTTAGTTGGTTTACCTTAAGATATTGATAATCTCAATTCCATGCTGAATCCTTCATGATATCCTCTCTCCAAGTATTATGTAACAAGTATTACTAGATTTACTACAAAAATCTTGAATTTGTTAAAGCATCATGCTGAACTTTTGTAATTTATTTTAATTTTATCTTTGCTCAAAGAGCAAATGAATATTCTTGGCAGTGCCCATCTCCTCTCCAATCATCATGTGACAAGCAGTACTAGATTAGGTCCCAAAATGCTGAGGTTTCATTAGAAACAAAGAAAACAGTGCTGAACTGTTGCATTATATCTATCCTCTTATACAGCAGTGAAGACACTCAAAGCAACAGATGTGATTTTAGATAGATGCTGAGAATAATATGGACAGCACCTGTGAGCGATGTGGTATTTCTTTAAAAAGAAATTGGAACTATAAGGATACTTAAAATCAAAAAAGAGACACTTGATTTTTTTTTTTTTAAACAGTAAGTTTCATCCTGTACAAGGCCCTGGGGGCCACTTGAGGTAGAGGGTTATGTTAAAAGGCAGCTTATATGGATAGGAGGGGAAGATAACAGTTAACCCTAGACTTGAACCAGTTAAGATTGTAATGATTGAGGAAACATCCTCATGGGAGTTGCTTCCACAGAGCAGTGGTTTGTGGGAAGAAGCTGTTCAAATGGAACTTACTTCTGACCAATGGAATACAGAGGGAATGTGGGTGGTTTGTTACTATGTAAATGGCACGGTGGTTCCTAGCAACGAAGGTTAGAACTGGCAGAACCAAAGAATGTACACTTTCCAAGGACGTGGTGTGAGAGCTGTGAAAGGCTTACCACATTTTGCCTGTGAGAGAGAGGTTGGAGAGTGGAAAATAATTTGTCACCTACAAGGACTCTGAGCCACTTTTGAACTCTACTGAGACTGGAAAGTAAGGACTGACCAGCTCCCACCCAATTGTAACAACAGGAATCGCTTGTATGCAATTTGCATTGGACAGATCTAGATGCTACAGTTTCTCTTCTGGCTTCTTGCTTCCCTGCCACCTACAATCCTCAAAAATTTAAATGTAACACCAATTGCCATCTTCTGTCTTCAAGAAAACTGTTCTTTTATTGTCCTATCTCTTCACTAAAGTTCTCACACTACCTTTCACTCTTAACCTATTGTGGCATTATCACCTTTGCTTGGTGTGAAATGTTTAAAAAACACAACTTCTTATAACAAGGTAAAAAGGAATATATATATATATATATATATATATATATATATATATATATCAAAGAGATGACTATTTTCTGATATTTGCTGTTGGTTAAAAACTTTATTTCGTTATTATTAATTTTTTTTTTTTTTTTTTTTTCCTGGAAATTTTGATGTAAATTATATAATTTTATTACACACCGATTTGTTTTTACTAGTTTTCTCATATTGGTTGTTGTTGTCATGTTTTTGCCACTAATTTCCTTAAAAAATGTGACATCAAGTGATTAGAGTAACCTCTGCTAAAACATTGTAAATATCATTTGAGGGGTGGAGGCAATGATCTGAACAAGTCAAGTTGATGCAATAAAATTTCACAATTATATTGAAGCCATTTTTGTAAGGTTGGCTGTGTGGGACACCATTGTTGTGCTGAAGGATGATACACTTACAAAATTTTCCTCATTTTTTTTTATGAATGGCTTCTTTTAATTTGTCCAGTGTTCCATGACATCTGACTTTATTAACGTTTTAGTAAATGGTGCATGGGCAACTTCCATTTTGCACCACAGAACAATTTCTTTGCTGAATTTTGAATGTCTGGTAGGTTCAGTAACAAGAGAAGCTTTATGAAAGCAACCTTGGTTTTTGGAGTAAGGTGAAAAAAAAAACAATGCCTATGTCTTGAAACTTGTACTCTTCAGTCAATTAATTTGAGACTAAGTTAAAATTTTTTTTTTTTACACTTGCCTTGCAAAAATCAGCAAACTTGGACCATAATGGCCACAAAAAAAAGCATTGTGTCAAAAGGACAGTTTTTCTGTTGACACCGCTATTATTTTTAACGACCTTTACTCCTCAGCAATGTCTATTCTTTTAAAGAGCAATGATTTAGAATTGTAATAAAACCTAAATATATGAAAGTTAATTTATACATTTTCTTTGTTCTTGAGAATTTACAGCAAAAATAAGCACTGTTTATTAGATTGTTTACTTACACTATTTATTTATTGGAATAGTTGGCAAAATGTCAGCTAATTGCCAATTTATTCAAAACTTTATAAAATGGTAAATAAGGATTTCTGTATAGTTGGTTCAAATATTTTAATTTAGTAAATGTTTATAAATTTATGAATAAAAAATAATAGTGGTATGAATGGAAAAACTGTCCCCCTTTTTTTTTTTTTTTTTTTTTGTGGGCATGAAGGTCCACGTTTACCTAAAAATCTTATTACACTACACACACCTGTTTGTTCACCATTTTATGGTGGCAGCCATTTTTGTTGTTATGTCACATGCTTTTAGGTTCTCAATAAACATCTAATAGGATATTTTCCAACCCCACCTAGCTTAAGTCTATTTGTTTATTAATTTTGTCCCTTAGATGATTTTAGATGAATTCACACTTTTATTAAGACTGGTCTATTTACTGCATATTGGGAAGAAAATTTTGACACTTTCCCCACAATGGACATTTATTAAGATCACCTCCTTTGTATTAGGGACCTACAAATACATGTGCTCAATATGAAGGTTGTTCTAGCTGTTGCAAGAAATATCAAGTACCCCTTGTTTTTTTTTAAGGATTTACAGCTTTCACAATGTTTTAATTTTGGTCAGTTTCTATCTATCAGTACATTACAAACTTTTCTTTGTGTGTGTGTGTAATGTGAAAATATTTTCATTATCGTCAAGACTAATTCTGAATTTAATTTTCTTTCATTTTGGTTTTCTAGATTTCGACACACGTTACTTCTGGAAGTGGACGGACTTTGCCAGCTATCTTCAATTTTTACTTTTCTTTGTGGCCTTTCTAACCTTAATGAACTTCATGTTTCTTGAAAGTACGTTTTATGTGGAGACTGTCGGTTTTTTGGCCGTCTTTGCAGAGGCTTGCTTAGGAATTCCTCAGTTTTATAAAAATTTCCAAAATAAGTCAACAATTGGAATGAGGTAAGCAATTTTCTTTTTTTTTTTTTTTTTTTTTGTGATATTAAAATTCTCACAAACAAACCAGATATTATTCAGGATTTTTGATGTGATTATTCTTTAAGAAAAAGATATGGGAATCAGCTTTAGAATTTTAGCACCAACAGACAAAATGTTTTTTTTTTTTTTTTATATTATACCTAAAAATAGATTTATTTATCTTGTATTTTATTTTATCATATTTGATGGCCTATAACATTCACACCAAACATTAGCTCCAAAATGTATCTCCTGGTTTTTAAGTTAAGATCTTTTGAAAGCTTGACACCACAGCCATATCACATTGAACACCAGTATCCATATGATCACCAAATTTAAGCAATGTTGGGCCTGGTCAGCACCTAGATCGGTAACCGTTTGGAAATACCAGGTGCTGTAAGCTTGGATGTGCAGGTGGTGTAATGGATAATGACTCAGAATTGTTAATCAAAGAGCTGAGTTCCAATTTCTGTTGGATTTATATTCATTTATGTGCAAATAACCTTGCAAAAGGTATGAATCTACCTCTTCTTCCAACTATGGGTTAATTAGTAAGACTTGTATCACTAAACCATTATTTCTTCCACACAAAAAATCTTACAATGTAAAAATATTTTCTCACTTTAAATAACCTGCAAAGGGTTAAGGTGTAGGAAATGAATGAATCAATAGTTGTACATAGCCTAACTTTATAATGCTGTAATATCAAATATAAATTTTGGGTGGAGTCTCATCTGCCACCAGATACTGTATTTTGCTGCTGCCTATGGAAGGTTAGGTTGGTTACTGATTAAAAAAAAAAAAACTGATGATAATGGATCACCAGGAAATTTGGATTCATACCTTTTCCAAGGGTGTTAGTGCAAAAGTTTCAACTTTAATTTGATTCCCTGATTCCATTTTCAGAGTTGCTAAACATTATGCTACTTCCAACTTTCATATTGTCTGTGGAGCAATTCTTTTCTTTCACAAAATAAGCAGAGAATTGATACACTTGTAGAGTTTTCATCTTTGATGATCTTACTTCTTTGTTGTATACATATAATAGCTGCATGCATTAATTCGTAATCATTGACAATACTTTCTTCCTGGTCTTTAATGCTTTTTCTGTGTGTGTGATACACACACGCACACACACACAGTGCGATGGATTAATTGAAATGAAAATAATGTAGCAGTGCTGGCCTACGAAAAGGTGGCCTTGTGCCAGACACTACTCACGACTACCGAATTCACTAGCAAAGTAAAAAAAGAATAAGTGAAAATAATAAATGTGTGAACTTTTAACCGTAGAATTATTACAGTCTCTTTAGTGAGGAAAAAGGGTCATTCAACACATGCATAAAAAGGTAAAAATAGGTAGCCAGGAGGAACGACAAAAACAAGTCTGGTGGAAAACAAATATAAAACTTTATTTAATAAAAAGTATTTTGTCTCAAACAGTGGAGACTATCAGATAAGTAAAGCTAGTTCTTAGCAAGTAGGCAAGTTGTATAAGGTAGTGACAAGTAGTCAGTAAAAGAATGTTAATGTTCCGCGCCAAAACGAAAATCAAAATGGCTAAGGCGGGAAAAGGTTCCCTCAGAAGGAAAATTCTGGAACAGTCTTCTTATGCAAAAGGTACATGCCTACACAACAAGGAAAATACTCACTGTGAGATTTTTGTCATGTGTGTGTAATGTTATTTTTTTTTTCTTTCTTTTTAAACTGGTTCGTAAGGTTAGAGTTCAAAAGGTGTATGTGAAGTTTATCAATCATCCGTGTCGAAAAACTCTACGTTCCCTGGTAGTGAATGTAGGAAAGTTTGAACAAGTTGTTCGCGTCAGGACGAGGAATTAGTCATTGTAAAAGTGTGATGGCGACGGTGTCGTAAACTCTATGTTCTCTGGTAGAAAATAGAGGAAAGTTCAAACAAGTTGTTTGCAGAAAGTTGCAACCACATGAAGAGATTCGGCATGATGAGCCAAGGAGTTTACTAGGAAGTTTTTTGTAGTTAAGATATTTCGGCCTGCGTATGGGTAAGGGGTGCAAATTAAATGAGTCGACCTTTTAGCTCAGAGATCAGGCAGCGTCTGATTTGAAAAACACCGTTCGTCAGTGACGTCAGAGAATGCGTGGGAAAACTTCAAATTCTGTTCTAGCTGGAATTAGCAGCAGCCAGCAACTTCCTCACGTCGGCAGCAGATGGCTGCTTACTACTATATCTAGCCGAATGTGAAAGGAAAGGGTGCAATACGCGCACGTAAAAGTAGGTGGAATCTCCGCGCGGTTCCACAATAACACTGACATCTCATTTTAACAGATATATTTACCAAAATTGCACAAAAATATCACAAAATATTAAAGAGTAAATTTATTCAATAAAATTGCCATTGGCTTCAACCATGGCCTTGTTTCATCTGTATGTTCTTCTTGTTTAATTTGGTGAATGCTGCCATAATCCTTGCCTGCAATTCATCTTTGTTATTACAAGACTTTATGTTGGTCTCTCTCCAGCCATGATTGGCACAACACATAGATGAAGAAGGAAACCCTGGCATGGTACATACTAGATAGCCATTGAAAAGATTAGGGAGTTTGCAATTAACAGTTTTGCCATTTTGAGAACTCTGAAGTTGAAAAGTAATAAATATAGAAATAGAATTAAAGTTACAATGAAACATTAGACTTATATTATTATATTATATAAGTAAAAATTATAGTTAAAAATTGTAATTAAATTAAACTTTAGATCCATTATATTATTAATGGATATCATATACTGTATATTACTGAATAATACAGGGTGCAATGGTTAAATTGTCATCAAAATTCTGCAGAAAGGAAAATAATGCTGACAACTCATGTTAAGATATATTTACCAAAATTACACAAAAAAATATCTTGAAATACTAAAGAATAAATTTATTCAATAAAATTGCCATTGGCTTCAACCACAGCCTCCAAATGGCTTTGGAATCTCTTCTGGGCATTCTCCTTGTTTAAGTTGGTGAATGCTGCCATAATCCTTGTAGCCTTCTTTGCTGGTCCATCTGATGTCCAATCCCCATGGCTGATCGATGAGTTGATCACTTTGACCCAAGCCTGGCCCTATTCCACGTTGTGCTTGATCATAAGGCTGGCAAAGATAAAATTGTCAATAGGAATCACTGCATCAATTTGGTCCAGACAGAGTGAAGTCAAAAAAAAATGTTTTTATATATACATACTTTGTATAGGACTTGGTTAATTCTTGATATTAAAAATGATTAGTTCTTCATGCATAAATTATCAACCCTTCCAGCTTTGTAAGTGCAGCACAATAATTCAGTTGGTTTAGCTAAGTCTGAACAAGGCTTATGTTGGAGGTTTCCTTCAGGCATGAAGTCACATGAGATCTGGTGAAGCAGTCATCTCTCGTCTGGTGTCTGGAACAACTGTCTCAGCCATTTTGATCTCCTGTTTATATGGACATTCGCCAAAACTGGCATGCGGTATGACTTGGCCTGGGTTTCTGGTGATTCCCCTAATTGCCATCAAGAGCCCATTGTTGTCTGGTCCTGGGAAATTAATTACATGCTCAATTTTGCGCCTGCCACCTTGGCTACCCTCCAACCAATGTGGCTCTCGACCACTTGGCGTGGCATAACTTATGGTCATTAATTAAAATTATCATTTGAAATTTTGCATAAGCAAAATTTTCCCAGCCTGGTTTTGCTTAAAAATCAGAAATTTACCAGCTGGTTCCTCTGGTCAATTATTGCTGCAATCTTGCTAGGGTCATTGCACTCTAAATACCCTAGGTTACACAAAGAAACACTATTCCCTTGACTTGCTTATGAATCAAATCTTATCCGTCCTACTTATATTGTGTTTTTGTAACTGATGTTTCCTGAACCTCCTCATTAATCAGCTGTCAGTTTAAAGGTCGCCACATGGCTTCTTTGTGGTAATATTACTTTCCTTCAAGTAATTATTTTCTGGTTTAAAAAAAAAAATATGATTTCTCTTTTGGAAAAGAGAAATCTCCGTTATTTCTCTCAGTCTGTCCATCATTCTATTTATTAACCCTTCTTGCCTCGTTCTGAGTTATGTTTTTGATTTAACCCCCTTTCTTTTCATTCACCAGTGTCAAATAGTGTCACATCCTTGCCATTAGTTCATCTTTGATGTTACAAAGAGTTTTGTTGGTGTCTAGCTCAACTGCACCCCACAAATAATAATCAAGGAGGTTGCAGTCTGGGGAGTTAGGTGCTCAGATGTAAGGTGTAATGTGGTTGGAGAAAATGTCTGACAGCCATGACCACATTCTCCTGCTTGTGTGGCATGTTGCCGAGTCCTGTTGCCAGACATAGGGTCTTCCAGCAGCCATCCTCTTAACCCAGGGCAGCAATACCTCCTCAAGGTTCTTGATGTAGGTGTCCATATTGAGTTTGAGGCCCTGTGGAAAGATGATTGGAGGTATAACATTGCTATCACTTGTGTTCACTCCAAACGTCTTTGTAATCACAATTAGACTCATCTAACTCTTTCCAAATCTTCTGCACTGCCCTCAGATTGACACCCAAACACTCTGAAATGTTCGTATTGGAGCTTCCAACATGAATGCCAACCAGTAGAGCATGCTGTTTCCAAAATTTCTAGCAGAGTGAATTCCATCATGGCGCTCTTTTTCTCACAGATGGTGCCCAACTGACCCTACTATACTGTGCAGTTGACAAAATCAAAAACAAACAACCTGCATATGCAAAATTAAAAATAGAAACTGGTGACAATTTACCAATGGCACCCTGTGTGTGTGTATATATATATATATAAAATCTCAAACTAAAGAAAAACTGACTATGTTGGTGTAACCAACAGACAGCTTGCCAGAAGACCTAACTTTAGTCAGGAAAAAAATCCTGAACAAGGAAAGAAAGACCAAAAGGCAAATGCCTATCTACTCAGTAAAATGCTCAATGCCTACATTATTTAGACAGAACAAAAAACACTTCACAATATCAATACTTAACAAAAAAGAGCCTGAGTTGTGACTTTAGTTTCATGCTTTCACAGTCTTCAGACAACTGGAACAACTAGAATAAAAAAAAAAAAATCCATCACTTTAGAAAAAAAAAATTATTTTCGTCTACTGACCTGAATATTCGAGAAATCTTATTAAAGAAAAATATACACCCAGGATTTGAATTAGCATCCCCCAGAGTAGAAGGGAAACTGTTAGATCTGACGTGCCTTAATCGACTATGACATGAAGAAGTTTTGCTGATCAAGCAAGATCTGTACAGTGCCTTTTAAGTGAAATCCATCTTATCAGAGATTCCTCAACATTATCATATATGGTCAATTTCATATTGAAATATAAACAAAATGGTTTTCTAAAGAAGTAATAGATTTTTTATTTGTTAATCCAACAAATTTT